TGAAAGGAATCCATAACGATTGCAACAGGTCGTTTTTGGCCATCATTGTCCTCCGTGACTGCCAAAAACCGACCGACATTGAGTAGCAAGAGCAATTTCCAATGATTTTTGTGATTCACAGGGATGAGAACAACAACTGTCGTTCGCAGTTCATTGCTTAATCGATGCAGCTTTGCAAGTCTACTTTTTATCCGCTCCTGCCATCCTGCTTTCAAAACATAATCCTTCTGATTGGCGATAACTGCGGGATGCCAGAAAGTTGTGCAAACATGAAGTGTCGTGTTGTCCTGTGTAGGGAAATGTTCTTCATAGACGGACTGTAAGTACATATCCATCACGTCGTCGTTCAGTCACTGCATCGCACCCAATCGCAATACGTCCCATTTCCTTATCGCTATGACGTGTCTTCTTGATGTCCACGTGAACGGGAACAAGTGTTCCTCGTCCACCCTCTCGGACCTCTTTCCAGCCTCTGCAACCATACCTCTTGACCGATTGCCCCCTGCAATACTGAAAAAAGGTTCATGCGCCATCTGAGGATATTGGACGTCATCTGTGGTCATCATCTGGTACATTTCCGCATACCACGGGTCCTCCAGTATCCTCTTCCATCGCTTCACTGATCGCTCACTGTTCAACGAGAACAACGGCTCGTTGACACTTGGTCCACATGACTGTTCGTCATTCCTTGCTATTTCTGAACTCTCCGTCGTTTTTGAGCCCATGATACAACCCTTGCCATCTACCCCCTCGTTCATTTTGTAAGATTTGCTCATCTGAACACCCCTCATTCTCCGTCATACAACAGATGGCACGGCTGATGGACTAAGGTTGAAGTGTCAATCTAAATCGACTTCTCTACAATTCCTGAAAACGCTTTTTTTTTTCGCTCGCTGTCTTGGCACTTCTTCCAGTGTAGAGTGTCGTTCCGGCGTTACCTCGACCTCAACATTTCCTGTCCACATGGCAGTCACATGGCCATGAACCACATCTTGTCCATTACACAGCAGGTTGATTAGTATTTCGACAATATGTGTGTGTGTGTGTGTGTGTGTGCGTGTGTGTGTGTGTGTGTGT